CAGAGTTTCAAAACAAATACAGTGTTTGTCCTCATCTTTGTCTTATAAATTGGAAGGAGAAAATATCTGATATTTCAGAAAATGGGAGAAAAATTATTTTCTCACAGAACTGATTTTACCAATACCTTTCTCTACTATGTTCTTATATGTAGTATTTCCTCTATCCTGTGCTTTATGCATGAATTACAATAAAAATGTTTGCCTTAATGGATTTTTATTAGTCTTTTGGGGACCAGTGTGTTACTGAAAATCAGTGCTAGAGTTTTAAAAAATACAAAGGTTTCCAAGTCATCTAACCCAAGTGTTTTAACAGGAGTCCATTTGGAATTTCACTTTATTATATTGTTGCATGAATGACAAGATTAAATGAATGCTTGTAATGAATCATAGAATCATAGAATGGTTAGGGTTGGAAGGGACCTTAAAGATCATCTAGTTCCAACCCCCCTGCCATGGGCAGGGGCACCTTGCACTAGACCAGGTTGCTCAGAGCCACATCCAGCCTGGCCTTGAAGACATCCAGGGATGGGGCATCCACAACATCTCTGGGCAACCTGTTCCAGTGCCTCACCACCCTCTCTGTGAGGAATTTCTTCCTGACATCTAATCTAAACCTCCCTGATTTCAATTTATACCCATTACCCCTTGTCCTATCACTACAGGCTCTTGTAAAAAGTCCTCTCCCAGTACCCTTGTAGGCCCCCTTCAGATACTGGAAAGCTGCAGTGAGGTCTCCTCGGAGCCTCCTCTTCTCCAGGCTGAACAAGCCCAGTTCTCGCAGCCTTTCGCAGCTCATTCCCTCATAATTTGAAGGCAGTATGGAGTTTCTTATTTGGTTTTGGTACTATGAATGTTAATTACTTAAGGGACTGAAGAAGATTCAGTACAAACATGAGTAAATACAAAGTATCAGAAGAGCTTCAGAACTAAGGAAGATGTGGTTTTATCTTTTTTTTTAAATACTAGTAAATGCCATATGTTATCTAGATCTGATTTGCACTGTTTCTATTTATAATCTGCAAACTGTTGCATTGTCATCATTGTTCATGAAGATAGTGAAGTTGAATTTGAATCAGTTACAACTCTTGGGTGAGTTCATTATCTGGCTTGTGTAAATTGACATAACTCCGCTTAACTTTGATAGAAATACGTTAAGGTGGAACAGTTGTAATTCTGTCCCAGTGTGCCCACTCTCCAGCTCAACAGCTTTAAATATGATCTTTTTTTTTAGTATTTTAGATTATTTAAAAACTTGTTCAGCCTTATATGCCTAATTAAACTTCTTACCTTTGATGTATCAAACTACTTGCTTTAACTGCTTTTAAAGCATTTAATGTCATGCTTAATTCAAAATACAAATAAACAAAATAACAGGCATTTCTTGACACTGCCTGCTGCATCTTTTAAATAGACCTTCAGTTCTGCTTAGCCTGATTGTTTGAGGGAGAATTGCTAGTAAAGGTGTGTAAAGAAGAGAGATCAAGAAAACTTCTATTACCTGTGGGGCACAGCTTCAAAGTAATCATCATCAGTGTAACTACTTCTGGTATAAAAGCATTTATAGCTGTAATAAACAAATGCGATGTAGATTTTCATTATAGTAGCAGAAAGTTAATTTATTTGTTGGAATTGTGATCTTGAAATCTTGTACATAGTAAAGTTGTCCAGTATACACAATATGTAGAAATAGCAAATCTGAATTAATTCACAGATAAAATTAGTATGCATTGCACTTCAGTGATTTGTCTTTGTTTTGTTTGTCTAATCAAAATTTCAGTTAATTTCGGCTTTGTTCTCTGCCTCCTCCACATTAGTTCCATTGTCTTGATTTGCATCATTTGTAGCAGCTGGCTTCTTGTCAGTCTGTAGTTTGGACCTTTACATCAAACAGCAAATTAATTACAGGAAAAGAAGTCCCAGTAGTAATTCTATGCTTAGAAGCTTTCACAATTAAGTGAATTCTCAGAAACAAGAAGTGGAACATGGAGATGGGGGCAGTGCCTCCTTCTCAGGTACCATTAGTGACCTCTAGAACTGTGTTGGTCAGTTACCTGTACCTTCTCTTTCCTAGACCCTCCCCTAATTTGTTGTAAAATTAAATTTGGAAAAAATAGCAATTAAGGAGTGGGGGGGAAGAGAAGTAGGGAGATACATATTTTTTGTTAAAACATACGTAGCCGTAATGAGTCTCAAGGGCACAAGCACTCTGGAGTTTATTGGAAAGCCTGCTTTAAATGTTCCTTTTCTCTAGACCACATCTTAAAAACATAACCAAAAATGCCAACTTGAATCTGTTCTGTCATTGTTTATGAACTTTTATTTTCTTCCTCAAAAGAGAAATCAAGGGACTCTTTTAAACTCGAGCAACACATAAAAAAAGCTCATGAGTATGTTGTCCAGCGAGTGCCCACAGAAGCATGTTAAAAGTGCAAGCAGTCAGTGTTTAGACACTCAACGTGCTTTTTGGTCATCAGCAAATAATTTAGTCTTCTGTCAAGTTGCTGCACTGTGTTAAGTTCCTCTTTTTCTTAATGAGTGTTAGTAATGGCTAGAATAATATAATTGGCTTTTGCATTTTGCTTCACTTTTGTTCTTAAAAAAAAAATACTACAAACAACAGTAGTGGGGAAACAGGCAAACCGAGTGGAGGCAGGAGAGTTGGTATATGGTAGGAGATAGGAGATATGCTCTACTTACAGTGAAATACTCTATGGAAATGATGGGCTAGTTTAGTCCAATTTATTTGCTATCTTCTATTGTTTATTTCCTCTGTTTCTATGTTTTTCTTGAACAAATAGATACTATTTCCTTGGCTGTCTTTTCAAGATAGGCATCATCTCTGACTTTCTGTTGGTTTTTGCTCTCTGTAAGTGAGCTATCTCATATAGTCTATCTTTTCAGTAGTGTGCAGATCACGAAAGAAAGTAATACCTTCCCGGCTCTTAAGAGAATATTGAATTTTCTTGGATACAGTGTCTGTTTTCTAGCAATATCTTTCCTCATTTTCCCTACCATATTGTTAGCACAGTTTAAAAGCTCAGTCCAGCATTATTCCAAGGTCATTTTCAAAGTCCTGCTGTGATTCTGATTCTTTTATATTTGTCCCTGGTTTTGAGCTGAATGTGAAATTTAGTAGTTTAGCTTTTGAACTGGAAATTTAATTTACAACTTGTCAGTTCGTTTACAAAACGGATACCACTGTGTAGGATTCACCTAAATATATATGCAGCCTTTCTCATTTGTTCTCTGTTCATTTCTTTGTTCCCGTGAAGCATAGAAATATGCAAAAACCACTTTGTAAGTCTAAATTCATAGCTGTCACTGCTGACCATATCCTCCAGGCCTTCCAGGCAGCGCAGGCTGTGAGAGACAGCAGATGGTGGCTGCACATGCAGGGTATCCATCCAGGAAAATGATTGCCTTCTCTCAGCATCCCTGCTCTTCGTCTGCCCACGGAACTCCAGTTTATTGACAAAACTTGAGTAACTGCTTGGTTTAGGATGTTTAGGATCCTTTTTTTTAATGTAAAAATAGAAACCCTCATAAATTTGATCATATCACATCCCATACGTATTTCCAGGTGTACTGTTTGTCTCTATTTTATGGTGAGTAGGTTTTCCGTGTAATCTCTGATATGTTTGTGATGAGCCACCTATCGTAGGCTTGGAAATGTGTGTTTAACTTTCATCATACATACACATTTTAATCCTGTGTAAAATAAACAGTCCAAAATCACTGAGTCTGCTAGGCAGCAGGTTATAGCATGACTTAAAACCGTTAAGTCCATTGAATTTGTCTCAAACTGTAATAATGACATTATATGAAACATGAAAACTGCGCACCTGAGTCATTCAAAATACTGTGTCCCAGATGAGGTGTTGCCTCCTCTTTGCAGCTTTGACAGGTGAGATTTGCTTTGGAGGTTCTACATAAGAGAAACTAAACTTTTTCTTGATAAAATTACAACTTTTTTCTTTTTTGTAATGGAGTGTGGTCTAGGTCTGAATAAAACCACTCTTTGTCTTAGTGGTGTGTTTGGTAGTTGTAACGGCTAGATAATCAGGATTGAGACTGGCAGACTTGCGAAGCTTCGCTGCTATAGAAAACCAAATTGAAATGGATGGCATTTACACACATGCAAAGGGACCTGAACCTATAGGCCCACAGAGGAACGCAGCGCTCAAAACGTGCTTCTCCCAGCCTGAAATGTCTCAGGTGCACACGATGCTGAGTGTTATGTTTGGAAGAGGGGTCCTCCTTGTAAGGTGGCTGGATCAATACATACTGTTAGATCCCTGAATGGTCACACCCCTGAAGTCACTTGTTTTCAGTATCAACCACTGAATGCAGCATCATTGTGTTGTGCTTTACTGTCTCTAATCTAGCCTGCTACTTGAACTAGGATGTTGTCTTGGGTTTTTCTAGGAAGTGAGGAACTGAGATTCAAGTTATCTTTTTTAATAGTTACTTTTATACCACTTGAAACAACGATGACAGTATTTATAGCCAGGTTAAAAAGTCAAAATGAAGTGGTCAGAGTGCATCCAACTGGTCTTTTGGTGGTTTGAAGTTTAATTGATAGAGTGGGAGATTTCTGCCAGTGTGGGTATGTGAATGGTAGTGCTGATTTTTAAGTGCTCTAAAACAATGTATTGCTGCTGTTAAAGTGATATTTTTAGGTTTCATTGAGACTCTAAAATTTGTATCCCGGTTGCCTTTACTAAGGGATGGGAATGAGAAATTTTTAAGTGTGACATGATACCATAGAGATTATAATTTATTCACCACATCATACTTTTGGAGTCCATGGGTATTTTGCTCTGGTAGTTCTATTGGCCAAACAAACATGTTAACAAGTGTGAATGTTTTGAGACATTTTAATAATAAAATGACATTTCTATATGGAGAATTATTCTTTGGAATTTAAAACTCGTAGAAAGGGAACACACTTTAATTCATTTTTAGCTTATTTCACAGATCCTTAATATTTTTACATACAGGTAACGAATTTGGACATCCAGAATGGCTTGACTTCCCCAGAAAAGGGAATAACGAGAGCTACCACTATGCCAGAAGACAGTTTAATCTTACTGAAGATCATCTTCTTCGATACAGATTCCTAAATGCATTTGATAGAGATATGAATAAGTTGGAGGAAAGATTTGGCTGGCTTGCATCTCCTTCGGTAAGCTGTACATACTAAATGATAAGTTTTTAGTCACCAGTTGGGTATGTGTTCAGAATAACAACACCAGATTAGCATGTGGAAATTTTAAACAGCATTTTATTATGCACTGCGTAATGCCCCACCATATATTTCAAGTTGTCAAAACATGTCACTGAAATGTCTTCCACAGACAATAGAAATCTGAAACATTCTTCTTTTAGCTTCATAGCAAGCTCTTTTCCTATTATTTTTGCTATTTTTATTTAGTAACTGTTGGTTGGATAAAGCAGACTATAAAATTGTCTGTAATCCAATCCAAGGATTGCTTTGGGAAAGTGTAAATTGTTCTGATTTAGTTTTATATAAATAATTGCTGTCACTGAGAAAATACTTTCAGTAGAGTATAGTGCAAGTTGTAGTCTCCCAGTCTTTGACCTGTCACTTTCGTACTGGCCTTTTTTACCTCAATATTGCACTGTACTTTTTATCAAAACAACTCAATTATTATGATTTCTCAGTGTTTTATTATTTCATACTAGTCATAAACCACTTTAAAAAAATTATTCAAATGGATGCCTAGTTATTTATTAGTGGCGTTAGCAAATACAGCAAAGGTACAGCAATGTGGTTTATCAAAGCTATTTCTCACACAGATTTAAAAAAATATCCGATGCTTTATTTTCGAAATTACTAACAATAGATGTGGTGCGGATCCACTTAACAAGTAGATTGAAAGCTTGATTTGATAAAAGGAATCCATTTTTTAAGTGGGATAAAAAGGCCACATTATGAATCTTTTAGGCAAGAACTTTTCAAGTGCTGTGTACCTAACACATACTCCACCTCTTTAATTTTATGGTTGCTTAGAAAAAATAAGCTACAGTTTAGTAATCAGAAATTTTGTATGATATTACATAGGTAAACAATTTCAGGTTTCCTGCTAATGCCCTTACTGATGTTGCTTAAATCTTTGACTTTTTTATTTGAAATAAGATATAGAAGCCGTGTTATGTTTTCTGTGGGTTTTGGGGGTTTTTGTTTGTTATTTCAGTTTAAAAATATATATAGTATTGCTTTTTTTTTTCTTTCCTAGGCCTATGTGAGTGAAAAGCATGAATCCAATAAGGTCATAGCATTTGAGAGAGCAGGTCTCATTTTTATTTTTAACTTCCATCCATATCAAAGTTATGTGGACTACAGAGTGGGTATTGAAACTCCAGGAAAATATCCTTTTCTTTACTATTTCACCGGTACAGAAAAACTTTGAAGTTGAAAACTAATTTTATTTCTGTTTTCTAATGTATATGAAAGCTTTAGCTGAAAGGTAAGAAATCACTTACTTGTCATCAGTATAATCTTCCTTTAATCCTTAGTATAAAGCAAAAAAAGAAATTAGAAATTATTTAAAGTTTTTGTAGAAATCAAAAGTAAAAATCTCAGTTTAAAGACTACATGTTAAAGTTTCCTTATGATTCCTTTTGTGTGTTGGACATATGTTGAGGCATGAAAAACTAAGTAACAACCGCTTCATAAAGAAACCACAGAAAGTGACCACAGTAAGATGAATCTGTGCATGCAGTCACAGGAAAATGCATTTGCTTAAACTAGGAAGGTTGTACAGTTGTTTTATAACTGTGTGGACTGAGAATGTACTCTTAGTTCAGCTCAGCAGTCAGTGATCACTCGAGTAATTGCCTGGGTTTGTATTTGTATCCAACTTCTCAGCATTTAGTGAGATTCAAAAAAATTAATGCTAACTTGCTGGAGGAGTTTAATTGGCCCAAATTCATTTTTTGTCAAGTCCTTTCACAAAGTCTAGTGAATCTTGCTGTGTCTTTTTAAAGCACTGCAGTTGCAGTTTTGGCCTACTCTCTTTTTATTTATCAGCAATTTGGGGAAATGGTTGCGATATTTCACTTGCTGTAGTTCAGTGTGTTACTCTGACTCCTGAGCACTGCTGAACTGACTTTCAGGGTCTCAGGTAATCAGTATGATTCTGGTTTGGATATCTCAAGTTAAACCATTCTTCAGTGCTTTCTTCTGCTGCTTTTGTGCTGCTGCTGGAACTCCTGGAAAAGCTACAATGGAGTTGTAAAAACTTAATCTGGTGTTGTGAGATACACTAATGCATGTCAATGTCATGTCATACACTTCTGGTGTTGTGAGATACACTAATGCTTGACATGTCATAGGCTTCAAGTATTCACCCATTTAAGTTGATGCTACTGCCCTTCATCTCTCTTGTATGAAGTTCTTTGAGTTCTGCAGATGGAAAAAGTGTAAGTTCGGTGTTCAGAACTACAACATGTAACAGAGTTAGTGTGACTTTTTTTGCTCTGATACTTAGACAAGATTAAATCCAACCCACATTTTGTTGTTCGCTTTCTGCCTTTTCAAAGATGATAGAAGTTCAGTTATCAAAAATGCTTAAGAAATATATTTTTAAAATCTCACTGTTAAAAACTTTGGTATTGCTTATTTTCTGTTTTCCATAGCACATCTTCATCAGACTTTTATTTAATTATGATTATATATAAAGCTGCTTCCTACACTTCATTTTCTTGTTTGTGCTAAATTAATTGAATACCTAGGCATTGTTTTTTCTGCCTGTGTGTATGCCTTGCACACACTGTTACACAAATTCTGCACTTGGCTTTTATAGGTGAGATTAGTGCTCAGGCTTCTGAAACTATTTGTGATTTCTTTATGGAAATACTTCTTTTTACCAGTTTGTTGGTTAAATATTTAATATAAGCAGCCTTTTGCTTTTTATCAGTGCTTTAAATTCTTCAGTTGTTTCAGAACCATTTCATGTATCTATTTTACACCACCAGAATCTCCTTACAAGAACCTTTCTCCTTAAATTGGGCATTTACTGTTTGTATAGAGTCCTGAATGCATTGCTCCTATTTCAGCTGAGGTTGCTCCATAGTAGCTCCTCCAAGCAAATTGCAAAATCTGCTTTTCACTTGTTTTACTTTGAAAATCAAGGCCCAGTTAGGTTTCAGTAAGTTGTTTTGTTGCTAGTTCACTCTGGGCATGGAAACTTTTCTACTGTATCTTGGCCAGAAAGAGTCATTGCTAATTAATTTTTTCTTTATCTTTTTTGTTCTTTTTTCTTATGTTTTTAAATTAATGTAAGCAGAAGCACTTTAGAAAATATTGGTACTCCCTTAGTAGTAGATAAACAAGGAGTTTTACATCACTTACGCTAAACCATTCTATGATTCTATGATTTTGGTTCACTGAAAATCATCCTGGAACTTAAGAGCTCAAGTATGTTCAAAACAAGTGAGATATAAAAAAAGCATACAGATGATGTTTCATATTTGCAGTTTATGTGTTATTTTTAATGTTAGTGTCAGTACACATCCTTGTTAAGTGTGTGCAGTATAATATAATTTACATCATATAGATTAAATTTAGAATGCCTGTGTTAAATCATAAAGTTCTGTAGTAGGTTTTCATTCACCAAGTTTTTATTGCTAATAGAACTGCTAGTTGTCAACAGTGTACTTGCTTTTGTCAAGGTGCTTTGACTAACCCTTCTTGTCCTAAGCAAATAGTGGATTTTATGGTCTTCAGGGTGTGATCAGGGTGTGACATGCTTTGCTGTCTTTGGTAGGAGTGGAGGGCTCTAAGTGCTGCCACTGCTCTTACAGCTCCCTGAAACACAGTGCATCTTCACCTAGGGAGCCTTGTTCATATGGTTAAGGAATCATCTGTCCCCTTTTACAGTACTGTAGTATTTGCAGCTCTGAAAGGAAGTAGTTCTCTTAATTTAGTGCTCTCTTGGGAGTCTCAAATGTAGAATATTCCCATAAATCACTTTTTCAGCAGTTTTACTTCATTTTATTCAGTGACTGTTCAGTGCATGAACAAAGGGAAATTCCTGAAACTCCACTGAGAGGGAGCAGTTGACAACTGGCTCTCACCTTACTTATAAGTTTGAAGGTAAGAACCTTTTCTTCCTTCCAGTATCCCAGATTCTGAAGATTCAAATCATCCTTAATACACATGCTTCAGTCTCTTGATTGTCTGACTTTGACACTGGCTTGCTCCATTCTATGTCTTGTTATCCTAAGATGATGTATCCTAGTGTGAGACATTCAAGGACTGAGACTTTAATTTTATATGTGAGCATGAAAGTCCATAAATGTTGAGCAATACGACTCACTACTGGCTTATCTCAATTTGTATCTTGACATTTTGCGTTGTCATATAGTGCTAATGTGCAAGAAGGAAAAAAGCAGTCATGGGAAGAAATGGTTACAGATACTGCCACTCTTGCATAACATATCAAAGCATTATAATGCTGGAGTGAATGAATAACAGTTGTAGTATAAAGACATATAATGACATTTGAAGTCAGAGTTGTCCATAAGTAAATACCTAGATGAGATATGAGATACAACAAATCTCCTCATCAAAATATTGCAAAGATGTACTTTAAAAAAAAAAAAAAAATCAGGCTGTCTGACATTTGCAGCCTGCATCTAGAGCTTCTAACGAGCAAATAAGGTCACTTGAATGAGTGAGTCACTGGCCTTCGATTGCTGAAGGCAAAGACGCTGCTTTGCAGGCCGCTTAGAAGTGCGGTTATGTAACTGTCCCTGCCTGTTAGAATTCAGGGGGTATCCAGCACATGGAGACAAAGGACTTAATTTAGGATCAGGCAAATACCAAATTCTATCAAGGTGGTTGATACGTTAAGGTTAATAGGTGTGAATGAGAAATCCAGCATACTAATGTGGGAATGCGTCTTTGATCTGTGTAGGAAGGTGTCTAGCAGGTGTCTAGCACTGTGAGCCTGTGTAACTATTAGATCGGCATGTGCTGTTGCCCAATTTCTCTTTCATTATGTGAAGGAATAACAAAAACCTTTCTATACTCATGCTGGAATTTACTTCATGAATTATGTTCTTTCAGAATCCTTTTCATGAGAAACAGGCAGCTTGAGCTAACAAATTACTTTTGCCTAATTTGCTTCAGTTTAGAAATAGAGACAGTTGACCTAGATACTGATTATTCATCTGTTTCACTGGTTGTAGATAAAATTTTGAGTGTTAAGAGAAGCCGTTCACAAGTTTTCTTTTCTTTTTTTTTTTTTTCTTAATACGGACTAGACCTTTCTGCGTGGTAGAGTTGATTCCAAGGCCTGTCTGCGGTAAAAATTCAGTGTGGAAACCTTATTTCCTCCATTTAAGAGGAAGATGGCTAAAAGGATGGGGGAGAGAACAGGAAAGGGGCTTTTACTTACTTTCATTTAAGTTATGTCAACCACAGGAATTTCAAAATAACCTCCCCCACTTCTGTAGTCAGATCTGTTCCCATATGTCACTGTTTCTGCTGTTAGAATGTTTTTCTTATTATTTAATTGAAATGTTTCTTACCACACTTCAGTTTGTTGGTTCTATTCTTAAAGGAGCAGAGGTTTCCTTTCTATTTTGATGGCACTACAGTGTTGTTTAAGTTTTTCAACCATTTTCATGGAATTAGATCTTCTTATAGTTCAGTGCCAAAAGCAAGTCACAGTTCTGACAGTTTACTGAAGCTGGAGAAATAGGCAGATTAATGGTGGTTTTGTGCCAACACATGTTCTATTGGTGATATGCTATTTTTCAGTATTTCCTAATTGTTTCCTCCTTCTTGTCTTGTATTTTTTACCCCACAATTAAACAATTCTTATTCCTGTCAGTGTAGCATTTTGTATTTGTCCCAGCTGAGCATCCCATTCTTCACCCTGGGCCATTCCTGAATTTACTCTGATCCTGTGGCCTACTTGAAGCCACTGTAAACTTTGCGATCTGCAAAAGAATAATAGTAAAAATATCGCTAATGTTGGCAAAATATGTGAAATGTGTTTGTGAAAGAACTAGCAGAAGCACCAAATGAGGGTTAAAAGAATGGACTGTATTGATAATGGAGAACACTCTCTCTAGCAGTAAAATAAAGGAGATTTTTTTTTTTTTCCATGTCAAGACAAGAAGGTAGGTACTCTGATAAGAGTCACCATTTCTGCTGTGGACCGGAGGACCCTGCAGCCTAACAGCAGTGCGTTGACATCAAGGTTTAATATATGCTATTCCTTTTCCCATTAGCTCAGTAGGAAAACGTGTTTAAAGTGAATAAGGATAAGCAACCAATGAACAGCAACCTTTCCTAATGCTTATGGAGACTGTAGTAGGCAAGAGCCTTTAGCAAGGAAAAGATAGTAACAACTTCCATCTTTCAGAGGGTGTAAAAGACT